ACACACGTGTATATACACATACATATACGTGTTTCTGAAGAAGAAATAATCAGATTTGAGGGTAGGTTGGTAGAGGTCCTGATGAGTAATAAAATCAAATTGGGTATACGTGTGCCCCACACTTTATATTCCTGGCACACAAAAATATAGCTAATAAAAAGGAAATAAACAAGTATAATAAAAATTTTTTAACTTTATATAGACAAGTAGGGATCAATATATACATAATCTAGCTAGCTATAGTAATATAGAAAGTTTTAGACTAACATAATTACAGTGATTTGCCAAAATAAAGATAAATATTTTTAAATTTTAAGTAACTCAATTTTTATAGTTTAAACTTTCTTGTTTCAATAGTTTTCATATCAATAAAACTTTCTATATTACTATAACTAGTTAGGTTATATAATATATATATATTGATCCCTACTTGTCTATATAAAATTTAATTTTTGTTTTTTATTATACTTGTTAAGCATATATATCTAATGAATACGAGAAACTAAAGAGCAATGAATCTGACTTGACTGACACACATGCATGTGTGTAAATACAAGGTGAACAAATAGAAAGAATAAAATAAATCCATAGTTCCTGCTAATTAAACAAAACACATACAACAAAGTTAATTCACACAGAAACTATGATACAGTTGCAACAAATGTGTTTGATTTTACTTAGAATATTTCTACGTAAAATGAATTACAGTTACTTAACATTTAATACCAATTATTTTCATTACTGAATACATATTATACTTACCTCATCTACTAATTTCATTGAAGATACATTAAATGGCAAAATTAATTATAACCATGATTACACATAAAAATGTATTGTGAACTACCCTAGTAAAAATCTTATTTTAAAAATATTTATACTATACTCAGAAGTCTTATGTACATACTAGAAATTTTTGTTTATAAATCATTCTTCAGCTGTTTTTCTTTTTTTTTTAACATCTTTAAAAACATTAAATCTAAAGTTTGTTGCAACAGTCCTGGTGACTAAGTGATTCTTCAAAAGACAGTTTTTCAAGGACTTTATAGTTATCATGATAAACACCATAACAGTTGTTGAAGGCTATATCTAAAGAGTCCATTTTTATGCATGGCAATGATGCCCAACAGTTCACAAGTATTCCTATCATAAGTCACAATCTACATAAAAATATATGTATAAAAATATATTCTACAGGATTAAAATTAGATTAAAATATGAACAACTCCAGTTTAGAAATACCTGTCATATAATTTGAAACGTCATTAATAGATTACTTTGCTTTTGGTTTGTTTGTTTTGAATTTCGCGCAAAGCTACACGAGGGCTA